GAGGCACTGGGGAAGTCCCTGTTCCCCCGTGCACTACCAGGAGTGACCAGGAATAACGGTCACAAGCTGGCAGACGGAGATTAAGGCTAGATATCAGGAGGCACTACTTCACGGTCAGGGCGGCTAGGATCTGGAACCAACTTCCAAGAGAAATGGTGTTGGCTCCTACCCTGGGGGTCTTTAAGAGGAGGCTAGATGTACACCTTGCTGGGGTTGTTTGACACCAGTACTCTATCCTGCCATGGCAGGGGGTTAGACTCAATGATCTGCTCAGGTCCCTTCTGACCCTAGAAACTATGAAACTATATGAAGCTTTTCAATCTCCCTCCCTGCTTTGTCATACCGTACGCAGCAAACTGACAGGTGAGCAAACCAGCAGAAGGGGCAGGGGCAGGGCTGGGGCTGATAACAGTCCTTATCACCTGATTAGTAAAACAATATCCTCTCTCCACATTACTTCAAACTTCTTAAACAGCTTACTGGCTGACCTATTGATTAGCTTCAAAGCCCTAAGCGGTCACTGTTCTGTCAGCCTATCCTAGTGATACTGGAGACAGAGAGACACACAGACACCTCTCAGCATTAGCTAGCATACCAAATGCTGGCTATGGTCCCTGCTGCGGCAGAGAGGAGGAAGGGATCTTTGTTTAAGCAGTGAGTGGTGAGTGGAGGGGGAGGGAAGAGGGGAGCATGGGGAAGCCAGCAGACCCTGCTGTGCCTGCAAGCCTGTGCCAAGCTCCAGCCAGAGAGCAGAGGGAAGGGGCCAGCCCTGCTGTGGAGCAGAGAGCCCCGCCCAGCCCAGAGAGCATGCCAGGATGCTGGGGGACTCTGATTTAACTTAAACCACCAAGGGCTCTGAGAAAGTCATTGCATAAACTGGTTTGAGCCAAATCAGTTAAGTCTGATACAACATTCAACCAGGTTCATCTCAAACTAGTTTCGGCCATTTTTAAACTGGTTTATGTGCACTGAACTTCTGTTCAGTTACAGGATTAAACCAGTTTCTGATCACGTAAGTTGGTTTATATGTAATGTCTCATAGATTTCATAGATTTTTATGGTCAGAAGGGAACTCAGTAGATTGAATCCGATCCACTGCCCTGGGCAGGAAAGAGCGCTGTGGTCAGACGCCCCCAGCCAGGTGCTTGTCCAGTCTCCTCTTAAAGACCTCCAAGGTAGGGGAGACAGCACCATCACCCTTGGAAGCCCAGTCTAGATTCTGGTAACCCTTACTGTATAGAAGTTCTTCCTAATGTCTAATCTAATGTTTGATCCTAGCCCAAAAGTTCAGTGCACATAAACCACATTCAAAATGTCCGAAACTAACTTAGGATAAACCTGGATGGATGTAGCATCAGATTTAACTGATTTAGTTTTAATCAGTTTATTCAACGTGTGTTCCAGATCCTCTCCAGATTCAAGTTAACTCACAGTTCCCTGCATCCCAGGATGCTTTGTACCTCCCCTGCAAACACCCCCCTCACAAAGTGGGTGGGCTAGCCTTGGCCCATGCTGTCTGCTCCAGCCAAGCAGGGAGGTATGCTCTAGTGCCCCCTGGCTTTTGGCCTGCACCACTGCAGGCATGTGGCTGCATTTTTGGAATCAAAAGTGAAGGACTGTTCACTTGCTTGCTGATTCAATCTATGCAGTTTAGACTAATCTGAGACGACTGAATCGATTCAGCCTTAGCCATTTTGACTGTCTGTACTTAGCCCTTGACACTCCATAAAGGACCCTTTCTCAAAGCTCATGTTCTGAAAATTCAGCCCTTTAAAAATGTGTCTCGTTGGGCATTCAAAATCACTAGTTAGTTTTGAAAATCTTGACCTAAGTTATTTTTTACATGCTGCATGAGAAAAAAACCTACCCAATTATTACATGACCATTGTTGATGGTGATGTGTGTGCCTATGAAGGAAAGGAATGTACAAGAATGAACCACTGCTGAATTCTCATGTTATGATGTGCGACTTGACTGCCAGCTTGAAAACCAAGTATTTTTTCATCTGTATACCTGAGAGTTTTCTGAAAAACAAGCTGTATATCAGCCCACAGATATATTCATCTTTTCGGATATAATTCAGAGTCCAATTATTAAGAAATGTATTTGGTTTTCATTTCTGTTGTGAGATGCATGCTAGGCCTTGGCTTGCTTGAGCTAATATAGCTAGTTTGGAGGGTATGATTGAGCAGTAGTATAGTGATGTCCCATGGATTACGCTTCATTGCAAGACTCTTTTTAAAAGACCTATAAACTTGAGTTTCCAATTCCATTTTAGTTTCGTGTAAGCTCACAAATAATGATGGAGATGTTGTTGCCACTCTATAGTTGAGGTCTGCACTAAATTCAGGGATAGCCGACTATTTACTGAGCTCATGACAACACTGCAGCCCCATTCATCCTTGGGGCTTGATGACTCCACTGAATGAAATGGGCCAGTTACCTCAAATATGTCCTCCCCTTCATCCTCCATCCGCTTGCCTTGCCGCCAGTGTTTCAGCAGCCACTTCAATTTAACATACAGCAGAAAAGTGCTTTGTTTGAAGTGCCTGAGTTCTTGCTGCATCAGATTTTTTTCCTGGCTCCAGGTCTTCTCTTCCAGTTTGTTCTGCAAAGTCAAGCTCTGCACCTCCAAGTCTTTCCTCCGTATAGTCTGCAGATGTTCCTCTTCCAGCTTTAATGCAGTAAGAGATAAAATATCAATAAGGTATTGTCCTTAAGGACCCACTGATTTGTTTTCAGTTGCGACAGACAAACTGATGCTTCTAATTTTAAGCAATATTAGCTATTCACTTGGCAAGAGGTTTAACTTTCAAAGAATAAAAATACAATGGCTTATAGAACCAATGTAATCAACTGCACACAAATAACCTAGTAAAGAAACGTGCAGTTTGTTTACTTTAAAGACATAAGAATTCTACTACATGAACATTTTTATGCCCTTCATACTTCTCATTCCTCTTTTCATTGCATCCTTTCAATATGTCCCCTGCATGGCCCTTAGCCCACAATGGTTGCATACAAAGCTAATTTATTAATTGGATTTTCAACCATATCTATAAAACAAGTATATAATAATCCTTCAGACAAGCTGGAATTCTAGCTTCTCTCCTCTTTACGTGCCATCACTCTTTAAGATTATATATTCCCATCACTCTCAGGAGACAGAGATCCATTGTCATTCATGTCCAGCATCTCAGAAACAAGTTACAGATTTCTTACACTAGCTCTGAGAATTCATACTTGGAAAACTTCTGTGAGCCAGTCAGTTCATAATAAATTCCGACAGGTTCACATCCAACTAGAGCAGAGATGCACAGCACACTATAGCTCAATGCACTAGCCTACTGAGCCTCAACATTCCTTGACTGAGTTCTAACTTTACAAATTCCAGAAAAGGCTTGCAATTTGAAAATTAAACATTAATCAGTTTTTTGAGGTAAATCTACTAGACAAGTCATTCTTCAAATGCAACTTCTGTCTGTACATGTGAAAACCAGATAATGGGATGACCTGGTAGTAATAGTACTTACATAAATTTACCTTTCAGCAATGCCAATATTGATATATTTCTATTTTAGTGAGTACTAATTACTACTAATGAGGGGAAGGCGTTTGGAAAAGGAATACAGAAATGTAATTTAACCGTCTAATGTCATGTTGTTTAATTTCCTTCTAGATTATGTTAAATAGTAGTTTATTTGTTAGTTACTAATCTAGTACATGAAATTAATGAAATCCATAATAAACTATTGTGAGTCTTGAAAAAAAAATACAGAGTATGCCCTGTAATGGACAACATCTTCCTACCTATGGAAAACACCTGGAAGGTTCATTTTCAGGAGACTAAGTGGAAAAACAATTTCTATTAACAGTACCAGAGACATGCATCTAATTTCCTCTGAAAGCTTAGAACCCTACAAGTGGCCTACCATTCCATGATAAACACTCATCTAAAGTAAGGAACCCCAACCCTATCATGTATGAAAATATCTGGCTTCAACAATGCAAAAATGCAACACGTAAAGCTTCAAAAGGAGCTCTCTAAAATGTATACCCAACGCTCCACCTTATTTGCTAGAAGGATGTTAGAGTGAAATCAGTTCATCAGCAAATGCTTTAAATAACCATAAAAACCATGTAAATGAATTCCTGATTGAATCAGAACGTTTTACAAAAACATACACAATTAAAATGTTTGTAATTAATCTTAAAAGTAGTGTAAATAAAAAAACAGAATAACCTAAAAATGCATGTTCAGATTTTAATTGCGTTAATGGGATTGCATATTGAGGACAGAATTTAGATCACCATCATGTCATGCTGCCAAAAAATAGTATATTTAAATTATTATGAATGTTATTTGTGCTGGTATAAATGAATATAACTGGGGTTAACATAACCTTGTTCCACTAAATTGAAATGAAGATATGTTAAATGCATCCAAGATCTGTGAATCATTTCCACAAGAAATCCTGGAGGATGATAAATAAAGGCATAATGTAAACAGGATGGGCATAATTTGGAAAAGTGAAGAATCCAGAAGATGCTTTATTTTATTTTTTTTTTCAAAACAGACTTCTGGATTTAAGTCTGAGTGGCTTTTGTTTGTTTAGTTTTTATTAATATTTATAAGAAATAATGGGCTAATTCATCACAGTTTAGTATTCCATAAACTCTGGCAAAGGGCCCTCATAGAAGAAACTCCACAGGGGTCTAGGCTGGGACAACGAATAGTAGCTACAACCGCAGACAGAAAAAATAGTTTTAAGTCACAGGCACAGCTTCTGAAACGGATACGTATCCAATTTTGCTAGGAAGTGAATCAGTTTAGTCATTCCCTACAGAGACTTCCATCAGCAGAGCTTCTAGGGAGCTTGCATAAAATTTAAAGTTGCCCCATTAGAACACTTGAGAGAGACCATGGGCATGACCACTCAGACGTAGTAAGATTATCTGGCACAGGGAGGTGCATTTTACTCCTCTGCGGCTGTTGAATTTGTTCATTAAGTACAGTCTGAAAATGTTAGTTCAATATCGAGCCAAGAATTGAGCCAAGAAATTCTGTAAAGAATTCCTTGTTGGCTACAGTCAGAAAAAGTTATTTGGGTAAATGTTATATCTTTTATTAGACCAACTGAATAGTTGTAAAAATTATTCTTTACAAGCTGTAAAGCTACAGATTTGTTAGCTACAGATCACAAAACAACTGTCTGGTAACAAAAGTCACGTTACAAGCACTAAGCAACAAAAGTAGTGGGCGTGAGGCACTGAGAAATGCAAGGAGGCCCCAATTACGGTCTCACTTGCATGGTTGTAACTTACTGACTATAGTGATGTGTCTGATTAGTGCGTTCAGAATCAGGTCTACAGGGTTGAGCTGGGTTTCTGGAGTTCAAGCACATGTTCTTCCAATGCCACATGGAGAACTGAAACATGAAAGAACTGAAAGGCAATCTCTCTGTGGCATGACACCTTTCTGTGCCTTTTTCTTTTCACATCCTTTGTCTGACTTGCCTATTAAGATTGTAAACTCTTTGGAGAAAGAAATGTGTTTGTACAGTATGATGGACCATCCATCTCAGCCCTGCCATTTTACAATAAGCCATTCTTTTTAAGGTAATGAATGTAAACTTCTTGGGAATATTTTTTTTTGGCTAATGTGTATGGGAATCAAGCTGCAGAAAGCTCAAACATGTCAGTTTACATTCAACTAACTTCCAGATTCTTCATTTTCTTAGATCTTTTTTAAATAAAAAAAATCAAGCCTTTGGGAGTGAACAGTAACATGTAGATACACTTCCCTTTTCTTTTCTTTTTTTTTGCCAAACAAAATTGTATTTTGCAGGCTGTGGTCAAGCACGTCTCCCACTGGATGGGTTTTGTATTTACCTGAATGATCCTCTCTGTAAACTTTTCTTGCTCCTCTTGGTGAAGTCTTGTCTCCTGCTCAAGCTGAGCCTGAAGCTCCTGTATCGATACATTCTGTACAGGTAAAACATGGGAATCCCTGAGCTGATCAGTAGGACAAAGGGATAGGTTTAGTGGAAAGTGCGTCTTAATAGTGTAAAAAAATCTGTTGGACAGACATCCGCACAATGCACAATTATACAGTTATAAGCAAAGCGTAGCATGCTAAGATGTAGCAATGCCCTAAATATGTAGGAGGATTTCCTATGTTATTACCTAGTAAAAAAAATAAAAGTAGGATCTTAATGTTAGATGTTAAATTTCTTTCAGATGTGATCCTCCAGCCCTTATTACTTCCACTGAAGTAACTGGAACTAAGGGCTGCAGAATCAGGCCCTCTTCATGGTCTGCCTATATTATCTGGTAGTATGTTCTTACAGTTTAAGGTGTGCACTTTTAACATCACAGCAAAAACCATCAACCACACCGAACCTGATTTTATTTGTTTGTAAAAGTTTTTGACAATTCACATGATGGGATGTCATTCGTTAAGACAATAAATTTGTTTCGCATCAAAATGGTCCTTCTCTTTTGGTGCAGGACAGCTTTTGCACAAGTCACATTTTTACTTCTAATTTTTACTCTATATTATAAAGTAGCTAAAATTACACCATGCAACTCTTTATTTACTGTGTCTCAATAACTTTGTGTATCGTGCACTCAGATATGATTCTTAGGTCAATCTTACACTGTCACTGGGGTCTGACTATATCTCTCCTTTTCCAGAATAATATTCAATTTAATCTTAAAGCCACCTATATCCCTATGAATTTGGTGTTCCACAAATGTTATTTCTGAGAATTATTTAATTAAAAAACAAGGATTCAATAAACAAATGTCACAGATGTATTGACACCAAGAATCAAAACAAAACAACACAACACATTAATCTCATAGCAATTCGTTTCCTGCATCAGCATTTCTGTGTCTCTCATTTTGTATCTTTTGAATATTTAGGCTCTGGCTGTTTACAGGTATGGATAGGACAGTCAAGCTGAACATTATCGGTTGAAAGAGACAGTTATTTCCAGATGTGGAAAACAACGTTACGCAAAAAGGAAACTCACACTGCCATTTTTACTCTGAATTGTCTGAACAGAGCGGTACTTTTCTAAAAGGACCACTGGAGGCCTGAACGTACGCATTCTCACTTTTTAGTACTTCAGACACTTAAAGCTATAATATAAACATTATTCGGGACTGATACATTCCTTCTTTAACTAACATTAGGAAGTACAGTTGACTTGCGTATGCATCAGTTCTGCACCTGAAGAGTGAGCTCTGTAGTCCTACAGTACATGCATTTAAACTGATCATTGGTGAGCTAACTCATTATCTATGAAGTCTATTTTTTCTTATGAATTATAATATATTTATAAATTTTTTAAGCTTTTAAGGCCAATTCCTCTTGCAGTCAGTTAGGAAAATAATGATTTCCTGCATACAAAGATTGGCCTTTTTTTTTTGGTAAATCTTGATATTGTTACAAAAGACCTTCAGAACCCTTTGAAGGCTGTCTTGATTTGGCAGGGGTATGTCATTTTAGCTCTCTCATGTAGCAAGAGAAGTCTTTCCTTAATGACTTTTATTATTTTCTCTCTCATTTTGATTAGGTTGTGCTTAGAATATGATATGTACGAATAAATATATATGGTTAATTAGCATGCAGTTGCAGAAAAGTATGTCACCTGTTTCAGAAAGTTGTGATTATCTAGAGTGACATGAAACGTATTTTATGAAAATAAGTATTCCAGTGACAACTTTTTAGTGCTGATAATGATAATTTTGAAAGATTCCATGTAGTTTAATGCGAAGTGCAGGATTTATCTAAAATAAGTAAGAAGTTATTTCAAAATACATAAGAAATCAATTATTTTAATATCATCCTCTAGAGTAATTCACATTTGGGAAGTTAGAAAAAGATTGTTCATCTCAGGATTTATGAAAAATGGAAGCTGAAACATAACAACAAAAATTCTTAGAAAGTTGGGGAATTATCACAGATAATTTGATACGTCTTTCTGTTTTTGCTGCACATTATTTCATTTTATATAGGGATGAAATGGTACTTAGTAATTTGCTAAAGACTAGATGCTTAATTCTTCACTTATAGCAATATGTACATAAAAATAGATTATACCTGAACAATTAGGACAAGAAATGTCTTATGAAGTTTTTCAATCAGACAGAAGCCTGATTATGCCTGAGTACAGCCAGGTTTCTAGGAACCTTTAAAATTGCTGGAATTACTGGTGAGAGATTGAATGAGCTGTCAGAATTGATAGAGTACTCAGATACAAGCACTCAAAAAAGGTTTACTTTTTTGTCCTACACAGAGCCAGCCCCTACCTCAGTTTTCCCTTCTATCCAAACTAGAAGTTTCTTCATGTCTTTACATATGTCATAAACTCTTGGACTTCCTTCCTTAAGTGCAAAGAATTCCAAATAACTTCAGTGGATTTGGGGGCGGCTAAGGACCTTGTAGAGTCAAGACCAATGGCTGGACTTTTAATGAAGACTATGTAGACTTTTATCATTTCTAACCATGTCCATAAGTGCAAGCGATTTAAGCATATATAACCAAATCTGTGCAATTGCGCTCATTATCCTTATATATCAGGCCCTAGATCTAAATATGATATGTGTTAGCTGAAGATGCAACAGAAAAATGCTAAGGATTTGTGTTTGGATGCAGCACTGCTGCAATACTGAGAGAATAACACATTTGATTTCCTGGTAAATTCCATTCTCTGTTCCTTTGTTATATTTATGTATTGACTACACGAGGGACAGAAACCACCAGGCATGCTCTATTTACCATGGTGTCCGAGGTAAGGCATCTACACCAAACAACGTTCTAACATTACATGAAAGGACACACTCTCACTAAACGCATAAAATACAACACATGAACTACAATCTAATTCTACTTCACCACAGTACTACAAAACAACACACTATATTTAAACCTTGAGAATGATTAAAAATTTTAGTGAACCCAAAATGAATTTTCCAAGTTCTGCTTCTGTTCTTGTCACCTTTGGAGACCTCCACTGAATCAGTAAATACTCCCTCTCACTTGTTTTCACTGAAGAACAAGCTAATCCATGCTGATTTCCTGATGTCAACAGGACACTTAAAGAAATATTATCAACACAATCAGGATTTTGCCAAAATATTACCTTTTGTGCTAAGACCCCTCTGCCCCCACTAAGATTGCCTTTTGTTGGTACAGGTTATTTTTCTTCTCATACAGCCTATAGGTCTGCAATGATTTGCTTTACAGGATCACCACACCCAGCAAGACCAAGAATCTTATATAAATAAGTGCATGATGATAAACCACTCAGATACCTGCCACCTCAACCAGCTGTTGTTGAACCGTAAATTAATACCAGTATAACTAAAGTTAAAACATCTGGTAGTTTTTTCTATTGCTGAATCTACTTGCAAAGGCTTTTTAATGCAGTCAGTCTGATTCCCATGACTGAAGCTTGGCCAGCCTCCATGCAAGGACTGTGCATATCAAATTTGATAGAATACTTGTGTTTAGCCATTTCTCCATTCAAAAGCATGAAAAATAAGGATTGAGTGGGCAGGTGGAAGAGCTGGGTTTCCAATGCTCTGTTCCTCTGAGGAAGGCAAAAGATAAACATGTTGTACTAGTTCATTACATGTATTGTGTCCCTTTCATATGTTGACACCATAAAAAATACATTCTAAATGGTCAGTTTACATTTGAAATCTGACCACAACAAGTATAGAATTTGCTGTATCTGACTAGAATTTCTGATGCATTATATGTTTCTTTTTTTTTTAACATTTGGTATACATAAGGATAAATTGCTAAAGGTTGCTAAGTTGCACCCTCAAAGAAATTTGGTGCACATACATCCTTTACCAACGAAAATTAGGTAATTGTGCAATTATCTATTTACGCATTTGTTTGCACAAAGAAGCCCTGATGTATGAAACAGCTGCAAACCTTTGAAAAATCTGGTCCAGTATATGTATACAAAGTCCTATTGAGTTCATTTAAACTTCAGATATCAACATTTACATCATAATGGGTCTTTCAGGCCATTATGTTGTCAACCTTTAGTGGAATCTTACATAGCAAGAAAGAACACTTTTCCTCAGCATACATTTTTCTTACTATTCCTAATCTTAGTGGGAAGGAACACTGTCAGTATTCTACATGCCATTTTGTCATTTCTCTTGCATGGATTCAAACTGCAAGAATAAGAAATACTGGAGGATGTGTTTTTCCATTTTGTGGCTTTTTTGCTACAAAGAATACACAATGCATGAAACCCCCATTCTTTGCTTTTGGGGAAGATGCAATTCTAACAGTGCAAAAAATGCAATGCTGAGAAAAATACAGCATGCTGCAAAAGACATACTAAAGTCCTCAAGCAGAATTACAAAAAGTAAAATGGAAGCAACAAAAGGAGGACATTTCAAGCAAACACTCAAAATTATATCCTCATGTGCCCAAATTTAACTGTGAAGAAAATTCCCATGCAGAGGCAAAGTAGAAGGTAGAAGAGGAAGTGACAGAATTAATTTGAAATAACTACAACTTGGTTTAAAAATCAAACCCATACATACATTTAGCATAGGTATTTATATTTACTATGAACAAAGGAAATAACAGAACTAGATTCAGTGATTCTCATCAGCCCATTTTAAAAGCTAAGTGTGAAGATCTGTCTGTTTCCTATTTATGACTACCATCCTAAGGAAAAGATTTCTTATAAAAATTAACCTCCCATTTTTTTTAAATGATGGCTTTGATTTGGGTACACTTTTACATGTATTTTCTGCAAACAAATGTATATTTTCTAAACAAGTGTGCCACAGAAAGTATGTACAAAGTATGCAAAAATTATGCAGGTGAGCAAAAACACAATCCCAACTGAAAATGTAAGTGATTGTTTACTTGATCATTTGCAGAAAAGAAATCACACCAGGTGTCTTATTTGAGCAACCCGATCTAGAGAACCCTGCTTGAGTGTAAAACATTTAATATCAAATTCTTGCACAAATCTGTAATCAATCAAAAAGAATAAAATAATTTGGGGGTGAAGTACATTCTGTGGTCTATTTATAGATATTGCATTAACAGAAAAAGAGGTCAGCTATATCAGACAAAATATTACTTCCAACTTTTTACTGATCTTTGTTGGTTGCCATAGCAATGTTATGATCTGTGTCATGCTTTTGCTTCTTAATAGTATTTGCTACCTTCTCTAATCCCTCCTGTCTGTTTCCACTTATGGCAATTTTGTTTACTCATTCACATTCCACTGTGGACTTAAGAGAACCAGTTCTCCCACCCACCATAAAAGAGCCTTGCAGAAACCATGAATAATGTATTGAATATTCACCTTAATACATGCTGGCCTCCTCTCTTCTATCAAACCAGTTCAATGACTTGTTTTCATCAAGAAAACAAAGTCCTCTTCTTAAAGAAATTTCAGTATATAATTTCCCTTGGACTGTGACTCTAACCCAAGTCTTTAATATGCAAATACATTCTAATAATACTGTTGCATTAACAACTGTGGTGCAAAGACCAAACAAAGGCAGATGTTTACAGTTAGGCTATAGGGGTGGTTTCAAGCATGAGGCAGTCTGCCTCTATTGTATTTAATCAAACAATTAGACTCCTACAATGCTCATTTAAAAAATAGTCTATACAAGAGAAATGGGTGAATGGAGGCTGTTCTGTTCTTCCTGGGAACATTTCCTTTAAAAAAACTGGACTTAGAGAAGACGTGCTTGCTTACTGTGGAATTATTTGTATAATTGTAACATGTCCTTCTCTCTGAAAGGCTACACACATTAAGAAAATGAAACCATTATACCCATTAGACCTGTGTGAAAATTTTCACTCCAAAAAACCTCAAAAGCAGTTACAAGCTTATATATGGCTACTGCTGTTTTAGGGAGTTTATTTATCGCTTTTCACTGAAATTTCTGCAGTAACAGAAAGAACTTTTTTTTCTATTAGAAATCTATTCTTTCCTTTTACTTTCCTGGCACAAAAACACCACATGACTTGTACCTTTCAGGTTTTGCAGCATAGACTTAAAGAAATAAATAAAATACATTAAAAAAAAAAGAAAAGCAACATCAAACGTTAAAAAAAAGAGCTGGGGAAATCTTATGCTTCACTTGGCTTTTTTCTTACTGATTTTCATAGATTTTGACAAGTGATTTTCCCAACAGACTGGCATTCAATGAAATGCAACATAATGTGCCATAAAGCTTTAATAGGTTTTTGACTATTTTTTTTCCATTTATCCCCTCTCATATTGATACTTCCATATGCCCCATCCACAATCATCTCCCTGACACAGCTAGACCACAACTGGACATTTTTGTAACTTCAGTTATAGTTACCTGCTTATCTATGTCTGGCTAAGTTTTCCATCAATATTTTTTCCATCTGCTCATCTTTTGAGACAGCTTCCTGCAGGCAACATCTCATTTTGGTATAGTGTAAACAGTTTGTGCCAAAATTA